CTGCTCGCACACCGGTCCCGTGAATCCTTCGAGGCACACGCAGTATTTGGACTTGCCGTCGGATTCCAAAGAACCTTTGACACCGCAACGACTATCGTCGCATTCGACTCTCCATCCGAAGACGAACGTGGCCAGCACCGCGAAACAACAGGCAATCAACACTATTACCAATATCACCCTGAGGTGGTGGTCGTGGGAGACGAAGTTATTGCCTTCGTTACGTTTACCGCTGTCAGGTTCGAATCTGGCGTCCATATTACAACGGATACCACAATAGCTAACGTAACTACGATGACGGTCGCGATGCTTACCACGATTACCGTCTTCGACACAGCTGGTCTACGCCGAACCATCGTGTGTGCGTTCGCGTGTGTATATAGTGCCTTCACATTTTGTAAGTCGACACTACATTAATGATGGAGATCACGATGGAAGATTTACCGTCTGTGATGAACAACACCCGCGAGCACGTACGAGATTATTTTGACGGCAGATGTGCTGCTGTTGTTGCTTCTCCTCCTCCTCCTCCTCTTCCTCTTCGATTCAAATCTGCATCGTGTGATGTTACTGCGACGATGGGAAGAATATGTACCGAGATCGAGGAAAATAATATGGAATTCTTCAAAGTTATTTGCGATAATTTGAAAATAGAAACTTTCGAACAATTCGAATACATTGCAAAACAAGTTTTCGTGAATGACGACGAAGACAACAACAACATGTTCGTTACGTGGGGTAGAATCGCCACCCTGTTGACATTCTGCGGAAAGATGGGCGAGCAGGGCAATGCCAACGTACCTTGCTGGACCGTACGTTTCGTCGATCGGTATCTGAAAGATTGGATTATGCGTCACGATGGATGGGACGGATTCGTTGATTTCTTTTCTCCAACACCGATGCCCGTATCGAAACCGATGATTGTCGGTTTGGGAATTATTGGACTGTTGTGCACAATCACCATGTTGAAAAAATAAATAAAGATTTTACATGAAATGACCTATAAATCGTGCGTGCCTGTGTCTGTGTGTGTGTGTTTTTTTTTCTTTTATACAAAAACAGAGACGAAAAAAGAGAGCGTACAATTGTTGTTGTTTTTTTTTTATTCGTTTATTTAAACAAGTTCGAGTCCGGCCATCACTTCCTCGTATGAGGGTGGATGAAGTGTCGGAGACGGTTCGTTATCGGTATTTTCTAAAGACGCCTAATGGTTATACAACGATCTGAAGACTTTCGTGGCCCTGCATAACCACCACCCGTTGACAAAACTAAAGAATAATAGAAATATGTAGAATAATGCAATGGAAATATCGGACATTTGAGAATCCATAGATTCATTCTGATCGAATGTAGAAAGTAGATAAGCAAACGGAACGATTCCGTTGAAGACAAACGTTAGGATGACGTAAGCATAAACTACAATAACGTTTTTTTTACGAGGTGGATGCACATCGCGCCAGTACGATTGTATCAGTTGTTGAAGTTGCTCCATGTGTCGGCTTCCCTGTGTTGTCATCACAATCAATCCCATCAACGGCTCCTCTTTCTTCCATAGGGCCTGTGATAATTGGAGAACCACCATAATATCGTACGCCATTTCGTACGGTCGTAATTCCGACGCGTCGAAGACGAGATAGAAGACGAACACACTCAACGCCAAACCGAACGTTATCTGCATGACGGCGGTACCCATCTTCGTCCTGTCGGTCAAGGTGCCCGAAGTGAACGTCGCCACAATGGCCATCGTTGGCAACACCGAGTTCGCTATCGTACGGAGATAACTGGGGAAGGAATAAAGAAAAATATTTAAAAAAAACAAAAAAAAAAAAA